TTGGAAGGCTGAGGCAGAAGGATCGCCAGAGCCCAGCAGGTTGAGGCTGCGGCGGCCGGGAGCGGCCACTGTACTCCAGTCTGGGCGACAGAGTGAGACTCCAACTCAAAAATAATAATAATAATAATAATAATATTAATGTATCTGGCCAGGCTCGGTGACTCAGCCTGTAATCCCAGTGCTCTGGGAGGCCGAGGTGAGTGGATTGCCTGAGCCCACAGGTTCAAGACCTGCCAGGGCAACTTGGCGAGACCTCATCTCTACAATAAATCAAAAAAATTAGCCGGGTGTGGCAGCTCGCGCCCGTAGTTCCAGGTACTTGGAAAGCTGAGGCGGAAGGATCGCCGGAGCCCAGGAGGTCGAGGCTGCAGTGGCCGTGAGCGGCCACTGCACTCCAGTCTGAGTGACAGAGTGAGACTCCAACTCAAAAAATAATAATAATAATAATGTATCCATACAGGTTCATTATGATTTTAACAATGGTACCATACTAAGATGTTCATGGTAAAGGAAATTATGTGAGGTATATGGGAACTCTCTGTACTATCTTCTCAATGTTTCCATAAATTTAAAATTGTTTTTACTATTTTTATTTATTTAATAAATAAATAACCTTGAGCACAGTGGCACAATCAAGGCTCATTGCAGCCTCGACCTCCTAGGCTTGGGTGATCCTTCTGCCTCAGCCTCCCCAGAAGCTGGGACTACACGCAAGTACCACTATGCCCAGCTAATTGTTTATTTTTATTTGTAGAGATGAGGTCTTGCTATGTTGCCCAGGCTGGTCTTGAACTCCTCAGCTCAAGCAATCCTTCACCCACCTGGGTGTCCCAAAGTGCTGGGATTACAGGCATGAACCACCACGCCCAACCTAAAACTGTTTTTAAAAAGAAAATTTAGGCTGGGTTCCGTGGCTTAGCCTGTAATCCCAGCGCTTTGGGAGGCCAAAGTGAATGGATTGCCTGAGCCCGTGGGTTCGAGACCTGCCTGGGCAACTTGGAGAGACCTGATCTCTACAATAACAAAAATTAGCCAGGCAGGGTAGCACGCACCCGTAGTTCCAGCTACTTGGAAGGCTGAAGTGGAAGGATTGCCGGAGCCCAGCAGATGGAAGCTGCAGTGGCCGGGAGCGGCCACTACACTCCAGTCTGGGTGAGTTGAGAGGACTGCCTGAGCCCAGGGGTTCAAGACCAGCCTGGGCAACTTGGTGAGACCTCGTCTCTACAATAAATCAAGATAAATCAAGACAAATTAGCCTGGTGCACACCTGTAGTTCCAGCTACTTGGAAGGCTGAAGCAGGAGGATCACCTGAGTCCAGTAGGTCGAGGCTGTGGTAACCATGAACATGTCACTGCGCTCTTGCCTGGGCAACAAAGTGAGACTCCGACTCAAAAAAAAAAAAAAAGAAAAAAGAAAAGAAAATCTATTTTTAACTAAGTCAATTAAATCACCCCTTTGGGTCTGGGTCTTAATTCAGTCAACCATTACTACGAATAGTTGACTTGTATTGAACATTTTCTAGGTACAGTTCAGTGATTTGCATAACATTCAAATTTAGAAACTGAGGCTCAAGAGAGCTCATTCATGCAATCGTTTAATAAATATTTATTAGTGAGTTAGTGCCTGTCCTGGAATTTACCCATGATGCTGAGGCTCTTCTGGCAAGTGTCCAGTAGGTGTCTCATGCACAATTGTCCAGGCTGAGCTCAATCAGGTGACCACCACGCACTCCACCCAGCTCCTCCTCTTCCCGATGATGATGTCACTGCCACCACCTGCCAGGTTTCCCCAGGAGTCATCCTGCACTCTCTCTTTCCCCCTCAAACCTAACTTGACACTAAGTCCTGGGAGTCCTTCCTCAGAAATATATCCCCAACCCACTGTCTGTCTCCTGGATGAGTCCCCATTGTTTGTCCTTTGCCTCTGCCTCAGGCCTCGTCCTCTCAGAGATGAAGCCACCCAAACCACCCACTTCTCATCTTTCTAGAACCCATGTTGGATGCTTTCTGATGCCCAACCTTCTGATGGCCCATTGAACAGCTTCCCAACCTGGCCTCAGCCCACCCCATACTCTCCACGCCACTGCTCCCTCACCCTCCAGCGTTTTAGCCCCAGACAGCACACTGTCAGTAACACCTTCCTTTTTTTGCCCTTGGAGAGCATACATGCGCTTGAAGTCTTGGGTCAAATTCAACTGCTTCATACACGAATCTTTTCTCTCTTTGGCCCAGCAGTCAGCCCCTACTCTCATGGCAACTGCCACACTGATTCTGAGGACTAGATGCTGGTGGGTCCGCATCTCCAGCTGAGAGTTCGGGGGGTGGCGGGGGGGGGTACTGCTGGATCCCCATGCTCAGAACTGCCTGGGTTATTTCCTACAACCAGCTCCTATTATATCAAAGCAAAATGGCCACACCTCATAATTAAATGCCCCAAAGTGACCAGGATAAAAAAAAGTCACAGCAGTTCTGATGGGTCCAGAGAGGCTTCAGGGAGGAAGGAAACTTGAGAGGGACTGTCAGGGACATTATGCTGTGGCGGTGAGATTCCACCTGGATCACCTCATTTACTCCTCAGTACAGACCTACTAGATAGATATTATCTCTATTTCTACAGTTGAGAAAACTGAAGCTCAGAGCATCACCTGTGCAGTGTCACAGCTAGCGAGGTCAGGTAAGGATAAAAAGGCTGATTGATCTCTGGCTCCTACTCCTAAGTCATGCCTAAGAACAGAAGAGCGAATATGTGGAGGTGTGCTGCTCTGATCAACTCATCAGGGAGGATGTACTGAGTCTGGCAAGTAGGGTCCCACTAGGCCCTACCCTATGCATCCCAGAGACCAATGGAGCCCAACAAAGGGCATTGGGGACAGCGAGGTAGCCGCTGGAAGTACACTGTGTCCCTGAAACAGCCCTCCTATGCTGATCTCCAACTACTGATGGGTTTCATGCAGAGGGGACACCTCTCTGCACAGTCTAGACCTGAGGGTTGATGGCAGGTGACCGAGGTGGAGCCTTAAGCACGGAGCAGGGCAGCTCCCTGCCTGGGATCATTTTCTCCAGGACAAAAATCTTCGGCCTGCCGCCCAGCTCCAACATTTCCCTCCTCAGATCTGGCAGCCCCGGGGCAGGAAAGCAGCATGGGGCTTCAGGTTTGGTCAGGAGAAGTGAGACTCTGGTGTGGAGGGAGGTGAGTCTGGACAGAGTAATCTGTCACATCATCCAGGACCAGTGTCCCTCCAGGCCCAGAAAGCCCTTGGTGGGGCTGGTGAGTCACAGTTCTCCACAGCTGGCAGTGAAGTTCCCAAGTATGGTGCAAACCTGACCACTTTTGAGGGGAAGGGTGCCTTAGCTGGATGGAGCTCCCTGCAAAGGTCAGGATGGTGGTGACCCTGGACAACAGCCTTCCACCTTAGCAAGGTAGAGTTCATAGGTTCCAGAAGGGAACAGACTTGGTCTAGGTTGCCTAGCAGGTGGGAGAGGGAAACTCAATCACAGTCGCACCCCAGCCCTCGCAGTTCAGCTGCCCAGGACTCCCCTTTCTGCCGTAGGCTGCGTGGCTGCCACCTTCACCACCGCCTCCACTTTGCTCTTTTTGTTTGTTTTTTCTTCCCTTTTTGTAGAGCACAGGAGGTTCTCGAACTCCTGGCCTCAAGCGATCCTCCCGCCTCGGTGTCCCAAAATGCTGGGATTACAGGCCTGAGCTACTGCGCCCGGCCATGTCCCTCGTTCTTGCCAGGCTTTGCAAGTATCTGTCCCCGGCTCCTCTTTGCTCCCACAGCGCTGCGGCCACGTTGCTGGGCATGACCCCACGAAGGCGGAGACGTTTTATTCTCTGCCACTTCTCCAGAACCTGGGACGGTGCTTGGCCCAGAGTGGACTCTCATTTGAGGAACGAGTGACCTTATGAATAACTCCATCGGTTGCTTGTCTAGTAGAAATGATCGATTTTCTGGTCCATCGCCCCTGCTGGCTTATGGCCTCCTCCAGGGCGGGGAAGGTGCAGTACTCACCTCCCTGACCCCGGCGCCCAGCTCAAGACCTGGGAACTAAATTCGCAGCATCGTGGTGAGTGAGGGACTGCAGGCTGGAGAGGGCCCAGCTGCCCTTAGCTGCGCCTGGTCTCCTCTGGCCTCCCTCCGTGCCTTCCCCAACACGGAGGAGCCACCGCGGGGCGGGTTAGGACAGTCCCTGGCACACGGCTTCCCGCTGGCCCGGCCGCCAGCTCTGCCATTTTCTGGAAGCTGGTGGGCCTCTGTGTGGGGGAGGAGAGAGGCCAGGACTGTTCTGCCTGTGCCTTGCGAAGGTGGGGCCGAAACAGCGATTACCCGGAGGAACGGAAAGTTGTCCGTGGCGGGTGACAGGCGGGAGCCCTAGCAGGTCAGGGAGGCCGAGCCCCTGCGGGAGGGGAGCCCGGGCGGTCACGAGCCGGAGCTGGACTCAGCGGGGCGAGGTGGGGAAGGAAGCCGAGAAAGCCGGGACCGCCCCCTCGTGTCGGATGCCGGAACTGCAGCAGGGTCCCTTGGCGGGAAGGCATGGCGTTCGGCAGAGCCAGCCCGCCCCGCCCCCGCAGTCCCCGCCCCGCGCCCTCGCGAGCGTACGCGGGTCTCTGGGAACCCGGAAGTGACGTGACAGGCGCGCGTCACGGGGGCGGGAGTCAGCTGAGCGGCCGGGCCGTAGTGGGATCGCCTGGGACGCGCTAAGGGGAGCCTGAGCTCGTTTGGGGGCGGGAGTAGGGAGCGAGGCTGCGCCCGAACCAAGGAGAGCTGGACGAGCTGCTCGCTCTGTAAGGCGAGAGCAAGGTCCTCAGGATCTTAAAGAGGAGGCGGTGGCGGCGGCAGGTTCCCAGGGTCTGTCAGAGGCTGGGGAGTCGCAGCTTCCAATCCGGGGCGACGGGGATCCCTGGGGGGAGCCCTGTTGTAATCCCTGGGCCCCAGAGGAAGGGCGCAGAGGCCGGGCACCATGGCGTCCATCCTGGATGAGTACGAGGACTCGCTGTCCCGCTCGGCCGTCTTGCAGCCCGGCTGCCCTAGCATGGGCATCCCCCACTCGGGTAAGGAAGAGAGGGCTCTCCTTGCATCTGCGCGGGAGGAGCGGGGGGGCGGGCAGCTCCGAGAGCCTGGGTTCACCCCTGGGACGTGCATTCCGGGTCTAGGCTCCTGATCTCCTCTGACTGCCTTGGCCCCCAGCTGGTGGACGGTCGAAGTTTAAAAGAGCAAACGGAGCAGCCGCGTGATCTAGGCCCTACCTCTAAGGTCCTTCTAAGAGGGAACTGAGGCCCAGATGAGGAAGTACTTGTTACAGGGATGCTGGGAGAATTGAGAATAGGCTCCCGGCTTTTCCTGCTGCCGGATTCTGTGTTTTTCCCACGAGGCCCATTCTGGAGGTGGGAGGGAGAGGATGGGCAAAGACACCGGTGCAGGGGGAATGTAGGGAGGGAAGGAGGACCCCAGAGGGAATTTTGTCACTGAACAGGGAAAAATGGAGATGAGGTATTTTTGGCCTTGGCTAGAGCTGGCTGCAGCCTGGAGTTTCGGGGAAGTTTTTGTAGCGAGTAGTGCAGGTGGCAGAGGGCTGGGATTTTTTGAGCAATTGAATGCGGATAAAACTAGAGAGAAAGCAGCAGCAGTCTATTAACACCACTGATTGGAACAGTTCCCCAGGGCTCTCGATGCCCTCGTTCTTCCAGAGCTCACTGAGCCTCATTACTGAATGGGCAGAGGAGGGGAGAAAGCGGAGCTAGACTACATTAGTTGAACTGGGATTGCTAGGCCAAAGACTGACATGAAAGAAAGCTCAAACCACTAACTCCACCCTTACCCAACCCTCTTACCACTAGGAACAAGTACTTCTCAAGAGTTCAAAGAATCAACTCCTTAAAGAAGGGGAAGAGCCCAAGATCCCTAATGTAGTGGCAACTGGCAAACTACTTGATATCAAACTACTTGTTAAGCAAAGTCCTGAGGATGGGAATATGTCAGGAAAGTGGCGAGAAGCACTGTTATGATTTTCAGCCTTTCCTTGCCCTTCCATAGCTAATCTTTTCTTCACTTCTCACCAATAGGGTATGTGAATGCCCAGCTGGAGAAGGAGGTGCCCATCTTCACAAAGCAGCGCATTGACTTTACCCCTTCTGAGCGTATCACCAGTCTTGTCGTCTCCTGCAATCAGCTCTGCATGAGCCTGGGCAAGGATACACTGCTCCGGTAATCAAAGGCTTAAAAGGTTTAGGAGTAGGGACTGGTTGGGTATTTTGGGACTATTAATTGACTGGGGCCTTTCTTCCATTCTGGCCAAATGAAGCAGTGGCTTTGGAATTTTCAGGAATTTTCTATGGTGTCGTAGTTAAGAATAAAATAGACCTGTATTCAGATCCCAGCTGTGCCACCTACCAGCTAAGGACTCAAGTGAGATACCTAATCTCTCTAAACATGCTTCTTCATCTGTTAAAGGTAGTATGAGCCCACAAGTTAGTCACATAGGTCATTGGAACTGTCTAGAGTCCTGAAATACATTCACTATAAATGGAAATAATATATGAAATAGGTTTGTCTATCTGTATTAATCATCTTGGATAAAACAAAACTAGGCCTCAGTCTCACAAAAATGAATTCTAGGTGGAATGGTTATTTAAATATAAAAATAAACAATGAGACTATTAAAAGAACATTTAATACATTTCTGGGTTCTTGGGTTAAAGGGAGACACTCTTTTTTTTTTTTTTTTTTTTTTTTTTTG